TGGCCTTTTCTACCTACCCCGAGCGTGGCTTCTTCTCCTGACCCCACAGTCCTCTCAGCTGGAGCAGAGAAGGATTGCTCTAGTGAGGAGATGAAGAAATAAATGTTATTTCACTGAGCAATGTCAGGAAATGATAGGGGAAGAAGAAACACAGGACAGACAGAAGGAATCCAGCTGTCTGCTTCTGGGGAAGAAGCATCTCTTCATAGTTTTGAGGCTGCTTTCAGGATTCATGATTCACCTTTCATGTTGGTTGTTGATGGTTAGGATGTTTTCATTTTGACTTCAGCTGCTGATGAGACGGTAAGAGCCTTGAGAGGGCTCCTATCTCTCCATCATGTATGACTAATTGTGTTGAGACAGCCGTAGGTACGATAACAGTTCTATTTTTCTCTAGAACAACTCCATTACAGACCTCCTGGTAGCGGAGCCCCAGCAAGTGTTTTGCAGGAGTTTTGCTGATTGTGCAGCACAGATAACCTGTGAGTGAGTAAACATGGAAAGCGTTGAATATTCAGCCCAGCGTGAGACACTCAGAAACCAGAAGCAGGCTTGTTTTATTGCTTGTCGCAATCTAAGCTTTTAACTGTGTGTTGTGAGTGCTTTTCAGGAAACTGCCTTGTCTGAGACACATCACTGGGCAGTGAAGTGCTCTGCTTCGGGGACAGCCAGCAGGAGCACTGTGAAAGGCCAGAAACCAAGTCTAGACAAGGACAGGATTTCTGGTATCTTTGTGTTTCGCTATGGTGCTCTGCTTTCCCTGTGTTCTCCTTGGACACCACAAGTCAATCCATGCAAAATAGGTACGTTTTTAAAAAAGAGCAAACTATGATTTCTCATAGCCTTGTACTAAAAAAAAATATATATATATATCCAAAAAAGGCCAGTGCATGTCAGATGTCTTCTACTGTTAGATCCTGTCCCTGCAGAAAACCCAGGGGTTTTGGAGCAACCTGTGGGCCACACTTCTTGTAGCTAACCAGGTTGCCTGCTCCTCCCTGGGGTAACACTTAAATGTGTGCATGAAAGCTATTTTTATGTCCCTGAAGAATTGTGTTGGCACAGATGTTCAGCTGACCACAATATACCAGCTCAGTGGTTAGTGTCCTGCAGAAAGATCCTCAGTATACAGCTCTTCCACTTGGCAGATTTAATCTATTGATTATAGAATAAAGTTCTGTACAAGAGGCTGCACAGATTTAGAGCCATGTTGATGGAAATAACTGTTTAGTCCTCAGGGAGGTTTGTAGTCATCTTAAAGCAGCACTGGAAGCATGTAAGTGGGCAAGTGGATAGTCCATCAAGCAGACAGAGGCAGAAGAGATTTTCTTAAACCCTTTCCCCCTAAATGGGAAGGAATGTTGCCTGCAGCAAGGCACCCTTGTTGTGTGCTGAAGTGTGAGAAAACTGGGTATGCAGAGAAGGCACATGGCAGGATGAGCTTGCCACAGATGAGGCACTCCTTGCAAGGGCTACTTCACATGTTTGCAGTTCTTTAAAATAAGGATGTATCATAGAATCATAGAATCATTAAGGTTGGAGAAGACCAGTAAGATCATCTAGTCCAGCCATCAACCCATCACTACAATGCCCACTGCACCATATCAGCTCACCATGTATCAGCTCACCATGCGTAGCCCTACTTTTCTGGTGCATGTGACGTCGTTTGCTGATGTGTCTCCATCCTGACGGACCACAGCAGGAGTGAGCTGTCGGCCTTGGGGTGATTCCCTTCACTCCTGCTGGCCATGTATGATGCACCGCAGCAGGAAGAGGAGGCATGCTGGCTGCTGCTGATGCTCTAAAAATGATGGCTGTGCAAAGTCTGTCTTTGTCGAGACTCCAAGGGGCTGCTGTGCACAAGGCCTTCACAGAGTTTCCTTAACAGGCTCCTTTTCACTTTTTCCAGGGACTCGCACTGTGCTTCATTTCAGAGGGATCCAGTGAATTAACATATTGTTGCTGCTACTTTGGTAATTGCATGCCCAGGGTCTGCTCTGCTCCGACTCAGTCTGCCTGGTTTCCCAGACAGAAACCATCCTTCTGTATCAAACAAGGCTGCAAAGTATTGCCCAGAGACATTGCTTCAATGAAGGAGGACGGGGTGGGAGGAGGAGGGGGAGATTGTTTCCAAAGGCACATCTGGCTCCAAGACCTCGCTTCTCCAGGAGGAAGAGGAGGTAGGGGTTTTAATCTTATTTTTGTACCAAGGTACTAATTTTGACTTAAGCTGTGGTTTCTCTTGCTGTTTTGTACAGAAGTCCGTATGGGTACAGTTGCAGAAATTTAGGCCAGCACAAGTCACTATGGGGGCTCAATATGTAGGAACTGCTTTAAATTAGCTAGCCTGGGTTACACAGGAGTTTCGACAGAAGTTGAAACTGAGTGATCTGATACCCTTTTCTGTACTAAAAATAAAAATCTCTGAGCAGATAAGTATAAAAATGCTTATTGGTCTCACTTCCAAGTATAAAAACCTATATGTGGAACCCTTAGAGCCCTCTAAGGCCTTGTGAGAATAGACCGCATCACAAGGCAAGTTAGCGAATGTATTTTCAAAGTCAGATTAGTGTCAATGTAGATGCAGTTTTGCATTGTTAAAAGGTATTATTTGGTCATGAATGACTTCTGGTGGGGAACTGGCATCCCTTCAGCTTTGGTCTCTCAAAGGAAGCGTGGTTACGTGCAGTGTTAGTAGAGCAGCTTTGCCCCCTAACACAGAAGGCATGAAGAGGGCAGGGAGCATCAAGACACTGGGAAAAAAGGGAAGCTTGACTTTGTTGCAGACCTCGTGGATGACCTCTGGCAAGCAAATGAACCTTTCCTCATCCATTCCTTCCTCTCTTGCCTACCCCTCCATGTGATGGTTGCTTCATTGTTGGTATGAATTCCTCTAAGTGAGAGCTCAGCAGCCCTGTCTGTAAGGTTCCTTTTCGTCTCCTTGGTTGTGACATTTCCTGTCCCTTAGCCACGTGCATTATTTTGACTGGAAGCAAAGGATTGCTCCAACACCTTTCACGACACAAGAGCTGGAGAATGGGGGAGGGTCATGCTGGTGGTGTAGCTGGCTCATTGCACACCAGAATATTGCAACTGGTGGACCAGAGGGAAGGGTTTTTGAGACGTCTTGATTATGTGTATTAGAAATTGCAGCCTCAGGAATTACTGAGAGTCTTTTTACAGCTAATGCTGTATACTGGACTTAGGAAATCCTGTTTATTCTGTAAATATGTGTGTTTGTAGGAGTAGGAGGAGCTGTGACTGCTCTCTAACACCGCTGTTTGTGTGCTACAGATTGGACACCAACAGAGGTTCCTTGACTACTGCTTCCCAAACTGTTCCTTTCAGATGGAGATGGACAGTTTGCGGGTCATGGTGGGACTGGAGGCAGAAGTGGGATTTATTATGTCCTGAGAGGAATGTAAGTTGTGATGCTGAGGATGTACCTTTTAGGGCCTTCAAGAAACCTGATCTATCCTGAAGATCTTATAGCTTATGTCCAGAGAAAGTCTGAGGAAAGATCAGACAGAAAGTGATTATCATGCCCTTTGATTAACAGTCTGTAAAATGAGCTGGTCTGTCTTCCTGATGGACCTCCTGGACTTGAGTTATGGTTGTTTTTCTCAACTGTTTTGCTTGGATGATATCTTAGTACTTGAGTACTGAATGATCCCCATCCTTTCTTCCAAAGTCTCTGCACTGGTAGCATTTGTAAGACGGATTGTAGGACTGCAGGATAAGTCTGAAAGGGATCTAGGAGGTTTCTAGCCATACCAGTGCAGAGCAGGGTTGGATGTGACATCAGGCCAAATTATGTATGGCTTCAGTCCAGTCTTGAAAACCTCCAGAAATGGGAAGTCATAGCAAGTTCCACATAAAAAAAACTTCCCAACTTCCAGTCTGAACTTCTTGTTTCAAGTGTATTGTCTCTCATTTTTCTGCTTGACACCACAGTGAAGAGCCTAGCTCTGCCTTCTCAGTCCCATCCCAGAAGCTCTGGGAGCTGCTGCTGGATTCCTCAAAGGTGTCCCTTCTCCTGGATAAATGAACTCAGCCTCTTTGGGCAAGTCTGCCTACATGAGACAGCCTGGTGCTTCTCAACCGAACTCTAATTTGTCCGTCTTTTTTTTTTCTGGCTTCTAATGACATGACTTTTTCAGAGGCACGGGTCTAACCCTGGCAGATAAAATGGTGAAGTGAGTTCTGCAGAAAAATGCAAAGATGTACATTTTTAGAATTATGATTGTCTCACTTACTCATCTGTAAAGCAAGCTTTTACTTGCCTCTGATCTTTCTGTGGAGCTCTGACTGATGATGGTTCTGGAGTACTAAGATGAGTGCTACAAATGCAAAGCATGATCAAACATTGCTTACTGTGTTTATTGGAGGAAGCACCATTCCTGGTATACAGGAATTGTATGTGTATATATATGTACATATGCCATACTGAAACACAATACATAAAATTTCATTTTATGCTGCAGATAGTGTGTGAGAGCTTGAGAGGACACCAGCAACCTATATTCTTTAAGATCTAAGAGCCTTGGGAAAATATCCATTTTTTTATATTGTACTAATTTCAAAGATGCTGGGTTTTAGTGCAGCAAAGTTACCAAAAAAAAAAAAAAAAAAAAAAAAAAAAAAAAAGGAAAGGCAGAAAGACCTGTACAATGATTATGAAGGTTTTTTGCTTTTCTGTTAGTCCTCTATTCAGGAAATAAGATGTGACTATATATGGGATAGGAATGAAACCACATATCACAAGCCTCTGTCAAGTTCATGAGATGGCCACATTGAAAAAATAGTGAAAAATGTGTTCTTGCCTTCGTCACCCATAGGAGTCCTGGTTGTGGCTTGCCATTGTAGTGTGAAGATTTGCATTTTAAAGTTGGCGGTTTTCCTTTTTACTCTTCCGCTTCCTACCAGCTAATTTGGTGTTGTGCTAATTGTGATTCTGGAATGCAAATAAACTCACCTGCTTGTTTTTCTTTCAATTTCAGGTTTTCTAACTATGGAAGCACTACAGAGGAGCTGCACCGTGCGCTGCTGACCCCAGGGTGGGGAGTAAGTAGGAGCTATGATGTGCCTTTGTGAGTTGCATTATCGAGGAGAGAGGCTTTCTGACATGCCATATAGTGTCAAAAACCATTCATTCCACCCTTCACAGCAAAAGTCCTTTATTTTATTTTTATTTTATTTTATTTTATTTTATTTTATTTTATTTTATTTTATTTTATTTT